AGGCTTTAAAAACATACATTGTGTTGAATGAAAAACATATTAATGTTCCGTTAAAGTGTCATACATACACCTTGCCGGATTTTTGATGCCCTTGATTTTGTTAATTTTTCTTCTTTTGTCTCATTTTTTTCTTCTTCTTCTTCTTTTTCATAAGCCATTTTCTTCTACTTGTCTATGGTTCGTCTATATTTTATTTACCTCTGTAAGCAAAACAAAAGCTAAATTATTCAACTTAGTGGTTTTAACCGAAAAAACGATTTCCGCTACTTTGTATGTGGTTTGCATGTTGTTATCGATGTGTTAATGTGCATGTTTTCTACTTTCCTGAACAATTTTTTCTTACTGCCGAAATCTATCTGATAGTAGACTTAAAAGAAAAGGGACAGTATTTAGAAAGTGTAAAGAAAATAGAATAATAAAACTACTAAACAATCTGTAAAAAAATAAAAGAAGAAATCGCAACAGGAAGATGAAAAAGAACATCATCATATTGCTTTGCTAAAGGCTTTATATAACAAAAACTATTTTTACTTATCTTACAGAATTAAGGCGTAGGTTTTCTTTCTTCCCTGGCTTTTTTTTTTTTTTTTATAATAAAGAAAGAAAAAAATGTTAATTATCATTATATACTGTTGTTTAATTAGATTTTTTTATTTGTTTCGTAAACTCTATACATTTGACAATACATTGATCTTTTTCTCTTTTTTAAAAAACAAAAAAAAAATAATAAATGGAACTACTAAGGCATGTAATTTTCATCAATAAAAAAAACAAACACCGGATAATCAAATGACGTCAGAAAAACAAATTTCCTTTGTAATAAACTTTAAGTGGAAATAGATAATAAACATGTGGACTGGACGGTTCATATAAAATTTGATCTATATGATAGAATCAAGATATGATAAACGGATCAAGATATACATAACAAATGATCCTAACATAGACAAGTTTTTGTCTGATTTTTAATATATTCTGTAAAAAAAAAACTTTCTCACGTAATACGTGTCTGAACAATATCAAAAATCTTCTTCTTTTTTTTTAACCAAAATGCAAATAGATTTCAAAACAGTAAAACTTTCTCTATCAAATATTGGATGTCATGGAGTTTTGGATAGTGTGTACTTACATGGAGAAATTATTCTTCATTTTTATTAAATAAATCGGTATTTTTTTTTTTTAATTTCAAAAATAACCCTCCTTGCTGACTCGACTCGTCTGGTAGTGATAGTTAAGCTCTACTCTCCACATTTTCATCAGTAATTTATTTCCAATAATGAATTTTTTTTTCTTTTTTTAATTATTTTTGTAATGAATGACGTCTTTTTTTATATTTTTCGGACATCATTAAATGATGAGAATGTATTTGATGATAATAACAGAGTCAAAAAGTTGACCTGATTATATGTTTTACTATTTAACAAAGGAAATTGCTCTTAAATAGAGAATATTTTATAATATGTAACAGAATAAATTCATATTACACCGTTTGAATATAGAATGATGCTGTTATAATCTATAAAGTTTAAAGACATCTAGAAGGTATATATAGACCCTATAGAATAGATATTGAGAAAATTTTGAAAATAGTCGTGTCAACCCGAGTCTGTGATGAGAGAAGAACAAAAGTGCAATGAAATTAAGCTTTGTCAAAAGAGTATACGAGTACATATAGGTTGATAAATGATTTAAAGAATACAAGTTTATTGACTAGAGACAGCTATTTAGGAGAAAAAAACATCAACTTTCTACTATAAAACACGTATTCATGCATAGTTTTAGCTTTTACAATTTCTAGATTGAAAAATTCCAAAAAAAACGTTGTGATGTGGATTCGATCAAGTAGTTTTCACTATTTCAACAATGTTTATAATTCTCTATTAGACTCATCATCGTGAAAGGATGAAATGTTTTTGGCAAAACAAAGAGAGAAAGAGGAGATGAAGAAGAAGAAAAAAAAAATGTTGAGTTTTTGCACTTTTTCTTTTACATAGCCTGCATTTTAATTAAGAAATAACATTTTATGTCTCCTATTGTGTACAGCGTTTTGCTGTTATTATTATTATTTTTTTTTTTTTGCATGTATAATACTTTTGTTATAGTGTTTCCGTATAGAAAAGTATGTTAAAAAACATAAAGAAAACATACTTTACTGAATGCAAAACACGTACTTTTATTTGACTGGATTATAATTGCTGTCAACACTTTCTCTCTCTTTATCTCTTTTTCTCCCTTTTTTGCTTCATGTATCACAATTGAACAAAAAAATGCCCTACAAGAGGGTTAATATCTTTATAAATTATGATTTTATACTACTAGAAGTTTACGGGTAAGTCAAGAGTTGTTTTTTTTTACACGTTAGACTAGACTATATATAAGAGAATAACAGTTTGTCAATAAAAAGAAAGAGCGTTCAAGTCAACTAAGTCAGAAGAAAAATGAATTAACACTAACAAAAGATCGACGATATTATAAAATAGAGAAAGTTACAGAATCAATAAGTTGACTCTTTTTTTGTTTTTTAAAACGGAAATAGTCAAAAATCAATTCAAAATATCGTTTGATTTTTCATAACATATGTATGATTTAACAAATTTTGAAAACTGTTTACTGAAATCATATTATCGAATTTATAAAGAATCCATTATAAAAATACGACAAGCATTTTCAAAGTTTATGAAAATATAACGAAAAATAGACGATTTTATCATATTTTTAACATTCATAGTTTATTCTAATTTTGAACAAGTTTTTTTAGGTTACGAGAGTCGAAAAAAGTATATAAATATTTTCATTCTTTTACTGTGTAATCAATTTTTTCAACATCTTTCTCATTAACATGTTCTAGTAATCTGTACACTAATGATATATTATTTCATAAACAAAATTGTAGACAAAAAATTTCTGTTATGAAACTGATTAGAACAGATTAACCATTGAGAAAGACAACGCAAGTCATCCCATACATTTCCTGTCATTATAATTTAAGAAAAAAGAATTGCTTTCTTAATTTACTTCACGTTTTTTCCTTTTATTTATTTATTTTTTGTATCTAAAAGAATTTTACATCTTATAAATCGATAATTCAATATTGACATTCCTGTAAAATTAACAGTTTAAGTATTTTTCTACTTGATTGAAAAATAAGTCAGTTTATACTCTACTCAGTAAAATTGGAGAATTATTTATCCATCCAATTGAGAATAATTATTTCAGTTATGATTATCTATTGTAGAAACTTGAGAAAAGAATGTCGTGCACTCTAATGAACCGACTGCTCACTTTTTTTTCTTCTTCTATTCTTCTTGTTTTCATAGAAAACAATTTAAAAATAAAAATAAGAGTTGTTTCTCACACAACAATGTCGAGAAGCATCATAATTAGTCTTTTTCACTTGAAGAAAAAAAAATGAAAACACGAAGAAAAAAAAAGATAATAGTAATAACAACAACATCAGTAGTTAATAAGAGATGCCGCAAACAAATTTAATCTTTGAAAATCAGTACATATAACTTTCATTTTTCTTGTTCCTCGGGCCTTCTCTTCTTTTCAAAAGATACATATCTTCAAATTCTCTATAAAAAAAAACAAAATATATTAAATATTTTTTTATGGCAAAAATGTAACAGTGAAAAGTTATATGGAAAGTATTCAGAAAGCTTCATAATTCACTTTTTTAACTAAACCATTTTGTTTTTTTCGGTTTTATATCTTTGATCGTTTCAAAAAACTATTTAACTAAGGTCGTGAAAACCTCTACCTTCTGTCTCAAGTTAATTTCTCCAACTATACGATTGACTATATAAAAATAAATCGTTACTTCCCGAACTGCACACACTTGTATATAATTTCAAGATCAAAAAGTCTTCAAAGAACGGTAGGTGGGTATAAGTGGATAAGTGTACGCAGTTTGGGTATGAACTAAATCATTTTATTGTCAAAAGAAAAAAAATCATCGTTTACCATTGACTAAACTATTAATTAAGTTAAAAGTGTAAGTAAATACGTAGCAAAAAACCATATGTGTGATAGCATCAGAAAAAACGGCTCTGATACAGCTGCTAATCCTGGTATAATCATTATAGAAAAGACGTTGACTCTACTAGAAAAAAAATCTTTTACTTTTATGTGTGAATGACTTTGAATCTTCTAAATACTTTTCGTCTAACTTTTCACTGTTACATTTTTGCGATAAAAGTACTCAATACGTTTTTTTTTATTGAGAATTTTAAAGAATATTCTTTAAAAAAAGATTAAGCCTGAGAAACAAGAGAATTGAACGTTTTTATAGGTAAAATGCTCAATGATCGATTTTCTCAATGTCACTCGTTAGTAGGAAGTTAACACTCAAATATAGAGAGAATCGAATTATTTTTTGTCTTGTTGCTTTTTCTCCTCTGTCTTCTAATATCTGAGATACTTAAAAAGTAATTTTAATGTAGAGAGACCTAATAGGCCAAGTTTAATAACTCTCTGACTTCTTTTTTTTCCTACATTTCTTCATCAATCATATCTATCGACCGCTAAAAATCTATGACATGGAAAAATGGCTAGTTGTTACGCTCAATACAATCTTTTTCTCTTTTTTCTTTACTCCTTTTGTTTTCTTGAACATGAAACAATTATTATATTACTCTCTCTCTCTCTGTTTCTGCTCTCTGTTCTACTTTATGAAGTCTCATACTCCATAAAGTGTCAATGAGCATTTTTATCGTTTCCTATATTTTTCTTTCTTCCTTCTTGTTCATTGCACACATGATATATGATTACACTGATGATGATGATAATGTCTGAAAAACGAAATTGAGTATGAATATGACACTTTCTTTTTCACTTTCAATAACCAAACAAACATTTTTTTTTTCTTCTTCTTTTAACTAAGAAAAATCTTTATTTTGTTTTAGTACAATGTTGAATTGCTCATAATTTACTTTTCCCATCTCTTCATTTGTTTTGTTTTTATTATCCTGTACATGTTCTAAATAACAAAAACAATTCAGATGTCGATGCCAACAATAGAAGTTGATCAAGATTATATGCGTGATAATGATACTTACCATATTGATTCTCGTTTATATATATTAGTAACGGCTTGTATATGGACTGTATTGATGTCAACGATTGTATTTGGTAGCGTTGGAAATATTCTTGTTTTATACGTCTATTCAAATAGAAAAGATAGTAAAACATGTACATTATTCATTAAAGTATTAGCAGTTGTTGATTTAACAATTTGTATTGTCATAGCTCCATTGGAATTATATCAGACAATGCAAGGTATTTAATAATGTTCATCTGAATTTATACTGAAAACCTTTTCAATTACTAAGATATTTGCACTCTGCTTAATCTAAAAATATATAAATCATTCATCAGCAGAGCATATTTTTATTTATTTATCCTCACTTCAAACTGATATGTTGTCTTTTATTCATTACTTTAGGCATATATACCGAATTTTTATGCAAAGTTTATGCATTTTTATCCACACATGTATTATATTCAACATTTTTAATAACAATAATTGCATTTGATCGCTATTTTTGTATATGTTGGCCATTATATAAAATCATTACTAGAAAACGTGCACGAATCATTGTTGTTCTCTTCGGTGCCGTGTCCTCTCTGTTAGGTACTAGTAAGCAGAAGTTAAGCAAATTTCAAGTTTTTTGTTAAACATATATTTTTACAGCTATCATACCAATGTCTGAGTATTCGACAATTGAACATCATCTTCAAATACATGCAAATGATTCTCATATTGGAGAAAATTATGTAAATGTGGAACTACATAAACGAATCATCGATCAAACAACGGTTTTAGCAAATACTACTCATGTCAAATGTTCGCCAAGATTTAGTTACTGTAAGTAGTTATACCTCATATCATGTTAGATTTTCAGTATGCTAACTCTCGGATATGTTTTGGTTTTAGCGTTGTTAACATCATTTGCCTATATTCAAGCATATCGAAGATTTCATTCAGGTATATTTGCCGCTTGTACATTACTCGTATTAATGTTATACGGACTCATATATCGAGCTGTTTATCAGCGTCGTTGTCAACGAACAAGAAAATTATCACAATACAGGCGTATCATTCGTAGTTATATAATTAATGATGAAATAGATAAACATCAAATCAAAATTCGACGCTATAGCTCATCACCATCAACACTTACATTATTATGCTGTTATTGTTGTCGGAATAGTAATGATATTATACACGATTTTCAACGTGATCGTTTACCATCACATTATGAACCATCACAAATGTTGATGGGAAATCGACATCATCACATGGAGCATTCTTTAGTTGATATGAACGATATGAGAAATGGTTTAAAATCGAATAAAATTGTACTGGAAGTTAATGGCGCAAGAGGAAAACGCTATAGTACAATAAGTACAACAAGTATGACGTATTTGACCAGTGGTGTGTGGGATGACTCGTCAACAGTACGCTCAAGAATCAATTCAATAGCTGCCACAAGCTACTGTGGTGAACACAGTTCCAGCCGTCCATCGACATCAACAGAAGATTCGTTAGATCATTCTCATCTTTCATTGTCCTACAGACCCACATCACCACCACCACCACCACCACCTCCACCGCCTACAGCACAAATGCATCTGACAATACCAACATTCAGCGGGCTATCGACGTCATCCGCACGTGGAATTACGACAACAACATTGGAAAATATTCAAAAATGCAATATTAACATAACTATAACAGAATTTGCAGATATAACGGAAGCTGATGAAGCAAATGAAGATAATGATAGTACATCATGTACAACTAGTGAAGCAACAATACCAAGAAGTATTACACAAAGTATTGCCCAGCAGGCAGCACCACCATTCCCATTATCAACTGTTCGTAAAGCGAGCAATCTAGCATTAAAACGAACATCGGATGCATCAGTATTTTCCAATCAATTAACGACAAATACACTGGAATCAAGAATATCTCAACAACCAAGAAAAGTTTCATTCGGTATGTCTACACTCCATTAACTATTTGTTTAGTATCTCATTATTGAAAGTAGATAGATTTTCTTTACGTTTTTTTACAGTCAGTCTGACATCTCATTATTACTAGCTTAAGCGTTACACATTGACATGTTCAATTCAAATAAAACTAAGTTCAACTTTTGTCTTATTATAGATCTAATTAGTTTTATTTAGTTAGATAATTGAGCCTTTAACAGAACGGACGCACGATTCGTGAGACTGTTGACTTGTTTAATAATATAAACGTGTCACAATATTAATAGCTAACAATACTGTTAGACTTATATTTAATTATATCCTAAAAATAAATATTATATGTTTTCTTTTATGTTATGGAAACCGAGTGTCTAATTAATCGGATTAGCACTTATGTATCACGATATTTGAAACTAAGATACTCAATTTTATTGTTCTTTCTCTATTGGGATTTAGTTTTTCACTATAAATAATATAGAGAAAGGAAATAACAGTCGATGTTATAAAAATTTTATCATCTTGAAAATAAAATATCATGCTGATTTTCCATTAACTTTTAGAATTCTTTCATTTTCAGTGAATCCTGTCAGTAAATCTTCAAGTGACGTACCTCAACAACAATATCCTATAATGATCACATCGCCATCAAAAAACAGTTTATGTGTAACCACAAGTAATCCGATGAACAATTTATTAACTGCTGACGATAGTCGAAAAACATCAGTATCATCTCGGCGTCCATCAACATTTGACTGTGAAACTCAACGAATGTTAGAACGTCAACAGACTCAAGAACGTCTTTCAAATATTCGTACAACATTGACTTTGTTTATTGTTACAGCAACATTTATTTTAATGTATTCACCATCCATAATTCATACACTTTTTGATATTAAACCACATATATTTCGTGAAGTCTTATGGCTATTATTTTATGTGAACAGTGCTGCTAATCCACTTATATATAGTTTTTTTAATGTTAATTTTCGAAATGATATTAAACGGATTTACGAATGTAGAAGACGACAGCACATGGCAAGAAACAACTGAGTCTATTTATTTTATTTATTTATTTATTTATTTATTTATCTACTGTTTTCTCAAATTATATTTTTTTTATGATGATGATTATAATTTGTGAATTTAAATTAAAGATAAAAAAGAATTTTTGAGATTTTAGCACTAATAATAGGCAAGATTATTTTATGTGTCTGTTTTTTCAGCGTCCACTAAAGTATTAGGAACGTAATACGAAAGAATACGATTTTTTTACAAAAATTTTATAGTAAAGAATTGTCTATAATTCTATGATGGGATTTCATGTGAATTTCACTTTCAAACAGTTCTACTCATTTTGTTCATATATCAAATGAAAATTTCGAAATCAACAACTAACCCAGCTCGCGTTCGCTGCTATTACTTCCTGCTTAGAAAAGTGTCCATATTAAAAACGTCTAAAGGTTTTGTTATTTTTATTTAAAAACCCTTAAAAAGACTTTGTATGCATTTTTTAACGTGTACTGAATCCTTAGACATTCTGAATATGGACACCTAAACAGCTTGTCCAAACGTAACGGCGTTACGTTTTCGACACACTAAAATGAAATTATCTCGGAAACCAAAATAGTTAAAAAGCTCATTTAAACGCCATTCGATGCAGCTCGTCGACCCCCATTTACGGTATAAAAATGAAATTTTTTGGATGAAGTGTCGAATTTTGAGAACGGTTTTTGTAGGTCGTAACGGCGTTACGAAAAAAGACCTTTTTTTTCAAGGGCTATCAACAAAAACGTGAATTCCGACAAAGGTAAAGGTCATAATGAAAAGTTTGTAGGATAGAAATTGTAGAGCACAGAACGGGCTATCCGATGGTAAAAAAAAGAATTTTTGCAACATCTTCAGTTAAGGCAAAAACATCAAAACATAAACGTAACGGCGTTACGCACTATTTTTGTCGAGTGTTTTTTAGGGACCGAATATGATCAGAAGATTTTGATATTTATATATATAATTATTCGTGGTACAGTCAGCCGATATACGCAAGAATAAAGTCGCTACCTTGGGTTCGAGGGTCAAAAACTGTAAATTAAGTCGGCAAATGTACAAATTTTCTAAAGCGCTGAAGTTCAAAATCAAATACGTCATTTTGTAGAGAATTAAATTTTCTAAGAAACCATATGTTTAGAAATTTATTTTTCGAAAACTTTCTCGGCTAAAAATAGAAAATCCGATGTTTGAAATGTTCAAAAACCGGTTTTGAGACTCAAAAACCAATTTTTATCAAAAAAGCGTTTTAAACGGGTTCTTAGAATTAAAAATTACATCTAGTGATGTATTCAAAATTTTGGAAAGCGGAAATTCTTTTTTTATAAACTTGATCAGCGAAGTGTCGCGTTACGTGGTAAAACGGGTTTTGTACAGGGTCGGAAAAAATGTTTTTCCAGGGGGTAGCGCTTAAACTACAAATGATGTCACAGAGTGTTATATACCAAATTAATGCCCATTAAAAATGAAATTTATGAGTATGATCGATGGTCCATAC